ATATATATATATATATATATATATATATATATATATATATATATATATTCTCTTACTGAATGATGTCATATCATGCTAATTGCACAACATATTGATAACATTTTTGTATGTAAAAAGGAAGTGATTTGTACACAACAGTTTTTATCATATTTTATGTTTGACTGAATTGTACAATACAACATTTTAAAGCACAAATTGTTGTGTATGGAGAAATTTTGTTGTGTACGAATCACCTTTCTATGTAAAACATATCACAATGGTTGTTTTGTTGTTAGCAAGAAAATCTACTACTCAGAGGTCGGATATCACGTGTTACAAAAAAAATGAGTATTAAAAGAAAAAAAACGATGTAGGTGGCAAAGTTGGTGGCCTGTAATCGGAAGTGTTGTGGAATAATCGACGATAACAAATTGAGCATGGGTTGACCCCTAAATATTTGTTGTCCAAAATGTTACATTATGTTTAAATCCGTGGAAACTACGGATGAGAAAGAAAAATAATATTGATAATTACATATCGTAATGATTAATCAAATAATTGTAAAAAAATTATTAATTTACAAAGATAGAAGGGTTAGTAAATTTATAATTTTGTTTGAAAATAAATATAAAAACCGTTATGAAAATACAATTTACATTATGTAAGGTCAGCTATTTAATAGAAAGAGTTTTTATGATGCAACATATATTTGATTATAGTAAAAAAAAATAGCACAATAAATCATGCAAATGGCAAGGTTGACAAAATAAAACAATATTGATATTTTAAAAATGTAATCATTGATCATAGATTTGCAAACAATTATTTATTTATAAAGTTAGATGTTTTGTCAGTAACTTTATAATGGTTAATTCAAGTTAACATATAAAATGGTTTGAACATATATGCAACGATCTTTATGTCTATATTAATGATAAAACGATGATGTTATATAATGAAATATAAATTTTGAATAGATTGAAAAAAAAAAGACAAATAAAAAGCTATAAACCTTAAAGGTTTGTGAAACAATATTTTCTAATAAGTTCTGAAATAAAAAATATTATGATAATTATTATATATTTGTTTATTCGTAAGACTTAAATATGGGATAATGACACTGTAACACAATGGAGTTTTGGGTTTGGTTCGATTTGACCAGTTATGTTATTTTTTTGCACAATAGGTCATCTAATTTTTATTGTACATGTCAATTAAGTCATTGCCGTTAGTTTTTAACCATTAACCATTTGTTCTAAATTACACGAATGACCCCTATGGTTAAAAATTTATTCGTAGTTGGTCCCAAAAATAGTAAAATTCATCATTTTTTTAAATCTCACATCTACAGTAAATGACAAAATTCCCCTTCTTCTCAATGCAGGTTTTATGAGACGATGATAAACGATGTCGTTAGCGAGGCCGGACTCAAAGGTGTCAGCGGCATGGGTAAGAGAGTAAATTCAATCCACCAAAAAAATCATTAGAATCAAAAACTTTTTACATCACATTCGTTCACTTCCAAAAATTTCCCAAATTAATCCAATCCAATCAAGATTTCAGTAACCCATTTGATATCTTCGAATCACTATTTCACTTGGGCGGCATGGGCGACGGAATGGGCAGTTTGAGCTCCTGCAACATGGCCACGGAAGATGAAGATCAAGGCTACAACCTCGTTCTAAACTTCAAAGAAGTTGTATTCGGAATCGAAAAAGAAATCAATATATAACAACTCGACACTTGTCAAACTTGCAAATGATCCGACGCCAAACCCGGAACCACCACTTCCTGTTGCTCCCTATATGATGGTCAAGGCCAAGTCATATCCTCCGCCAAAACTCCCATCGGCATCTTCCAACAAGTCACCACCTGCTCTTCCTGTAAAGGAACCGGAGAAATCTCAACTCCTTACACCACATGCTCCAGTGACGGGCGAGTCCGAAAGTCAAAACGAATCACCCTCAAAGTCCCTTTTGGTGTCGATTCCGGTAACCGGTTGAGAGTTATCAGAAGGTAATGCCAGAAGAAGAGGCGGACTCGCTGACGATTTGTTTTTTATACTCGATGTTCTTCCAGATCTGGTGTTGAAACATGACGATACGAACATTCTGTACACTTGGTCCCCAGAGTGATGATACTAACATTTTGTACACGATGACAATGTTGCAGTTTGGTCCCCTGAGTTTCAAAAATGAAATTTTACTACTTATGGGACCAATTACGAATAAAATTTGAACTATATGGATCATTTGTGTAATTTAGAATAACTGGTTAACGGAGGAATGGTTAAAAACTAACGATAATGGCTTAATTGACATGTACAGTAAAAATTAGATGGCTTATTGCGCAAAAAAATAACATAAATGGTCAAATCGGACCAAACCCAAAACTTCATTGTGCTACGGTGACATTATCCCATTTACATATTACGTAAGGTCAACTTTTTTTCTTTTTTTGAAAGTGCAAACTAATATACTTCTAACTATCACAACATATGTCTCAAATGAGACTTGAACTCATAACATCTTAAATGAAAGAGTCACTCCATACCGTTAGGGCAAAGGTCATTTGATATGTAAGGTCAACTATTTGATAAATAATGAGTTTGTATAATACAACATACATCTGATTATAGTAAACAACAACACAATAAATCATGCAAATGATCCGGTTGACAAAATAAACAATATTGATATTTTAAAAATGTAATCATTAATCATAGATTTGTAAACATTTATTTATTTATAAAGTTAGATGTTTTGTCTGTAACTTTATAATGGTTAATTTAAATTAATATATAAAATGGTTTGAAGATATATGCAAGGGTATTTATGTCTACATTAATTAATGATAAAATGATGATGTTATATAATAATATATAAAATTTTAATGGATTGAAAAAAAAACAAATAAAAAGCTATAAACCTTAAAGGTTTGTGAAACAATATTTTCTAATAAGTTTGAAATAAAAAATATTAGGATAATTATTATATATTTGTTTATTCCTAAGATTTAAAATACATTTTTTTTTATAAATTATCGTTTTACATGTTTCTCGTCCTTTTAATATTATTATATTATTGTTGTAATGAACAAAATTCTATTCTAAAGTTAACTCGTACATATACAATGTTTACTAAATATATGTGAATATTATTGTTGTCTTATAAAAGAAAATCTTGACTTACATTTATTCTTTTGCTTAAAATAAGTTATTTGGCTAATATTGATTGTTTTTAACTTAAAGCATATGCTAAATTAACTTTTGCATGTTAGCTGGAATTTAGCGAAACTATTCTTTTTGAAGTAAGTTTTGATGTAAAAATAAATAAATAATTGTACTTTATTTTACTAAATAATCCTTATAAATAAATAAAAAATACTGTTTATTTTATGCTTATATTTTATAACAATATTTAATGGGGTTAATAATAATAATAATAATAATAATAATTAATGGTGTTATCAAATCATCATGTATCAAATAGCTAGTAGACAAAACTGCAAATTTAGTCCTTGTGGTTTACAAAAATCTTTAAATAAGGTCCAAAAAGTTTTTAACTTGCATGGCAGGTCCAAAATCAAAACATTTCCGCGATTTTAGTCCAAAAAAACTTGAAAAGACGATTATGCCCTTTTATTTTCTTTTTTGTATTTTATATATTTATTTAATACCTTTTTTAATTAAAAAAAATAACATATCCCACCCTATCACTCTATCCGACCCTCCCCTCTCTTTTTCACTCCACCCGACCCTTTCCTTTCTCTTTCACTCTCTCTCCCATCTTCTTCTTCTTCACCCTTCACCTGC